GCTCCCGGCCACCGCAGCCTCGCGTGCTGGGCTCCAGCGATCCTTCCGCCTCGGCCTTCCGAGTAGCCGGAATTACAGGCAGGCGCTACCACGTCCGGCTGAGTTTTTGATTTATTGTAGAGATGAGGTCTCGCTGCCCAGGCGGGTCTCAGTCTTTTAAAGCAGTGGTTTCCAAGGAGCATATTGTTAAAAGATAACGTTACCAATAAAAATTTCATGCCCAGATGAGCCTAAGATTAACTCTATATTGTATTTTGCTAGCAGAGTTTCACAATTCTCGTTAGTACACTAAAGGCTCTGAAAAGTCCTGCAGGAAAGAAACCTATTTAACTTCGTTTCAGCTGTTCCCAGATTTATTTGCCCCCCTCCTTTTTAAAGTAATACCTACTCAAGTTATACCAGTGTTCCACAAAACACACCTTAGGGAACACTATTCTAAAGAAATCACAAAGTACCATGTCCCAGCCTCTCCCAGCCCCTCCTGTTTTTCTGTCAAGTTCTGCCATCGTTCAACCATGCTTCAATAGAAAGGGGGTTTCCTAAATAGTTTGCGGTGTGGTCGTGTTTTGAGCAGCCAGCAGCCTCTCTTTGTGCATGACCCAAATGCTGCCAACCCAGGAAGATGTGCCATAATCCCTGTGGAAATACAAGAGATGGTGGGGTGGGGAGTGGGGGAGGGTTTCCTTTACACCAAAGTAGAACTCTGATGTCAGAGCCCTGGAAGCTGTCCAGACTGACTTCTGCCCCCAACCCCCAGTCCATCAGGAAAGACCTTTCAGGCTTGGAGATCCTGCTCCTAGGAGTTGGCGGCCAGAGCTCAACCTAACCAGGAGCCCCTCTGCTGCCTTGCATGGGGCCCCATGTGGGCAGTGACTGGCATACTGCAGCCAACTTGACTCATTCCTAATGCCTGTTCATTCATTCAACATGCATGTGTTGAGCACCCACTCTGTCCCGGGCATGGTTTTATGAAGATATAACTGTGATTAACGAAGCATTTTTGGCTTCAGGGAGTTTACATTCTAGCAGAAATGTGAGACTGAAAGTGTCCTTGTAACATTCCTGTAGTGGCTGTGACTATGAGCTCACTCTTAGCACAGTGACCTCAAACTTCATCGTTCAGAGGTGCAAACAGGAGGCTCTCAGGTTCAGCTGATGGATCTGTTTTGTTTGGACCATATATTGTTTTTAAAATTTTGTGTCAGCTTTTAAAAGTTAGAAGGTTGCACATTAAAAAGTCAGTCCTGGTTTCTCCTGAAAATTCGGGCAATTGGGCAGCTCAGGACCTGTATTCCCACACAGCCACGATTAGGTATGGTTGAGTCATTGCTATTCCCCAAGGCTCACTCTCCAGGTCACCAGGAACATTTGCCGAGCCTGTGGCCTTCCCAACACTGAGGCTGGATGTCTGTTGCCATTTGTCATCAGCTGTCACTACCTGGGTGACTATTTAGTTATGCTTCTCTCCCCACCTCTGCCTCCCCCCCTTCCATCCTTTCCCTCCGATATCTAAATGGTTGTTTTTAAGAAGGAAAATATTTATCTTTACTCATTACTCCATCAAGCGTGGGAAAATAAGATAATCTAAGAGGGAGGGCTCTGCCTATGAATATTGGAGAGAACGTGCTCGTTTGTGGAAGTGAAAATATTCCTACCACCCATCACGAAGTGTGCCTGTGTCTCACATCCAGATGTCTTCACTCATTTGTTACCTGCCTACCTGGCCCCTGTAGGCAACCATGAGGGCTGCTTGTCATAGATGTGTATTAGGTTCCTCAACCAGTGTTCTGTCCAGATTCCTAGGCAGAGCCTGAAGACTTTGAGGAACACTGCCCTCAGAAAATACTCGTCCACTTTCTTTGAAGTTTCTTGCTTTACAGCTGCTCTTTAATCTTCCTTTTGCCAGATAGACTACAACCCCCTGAGCTCATTCAATTAAATGCCCAGGAGCCTACTATGTGCGTGCTCTCCTACTGGGGGCAAAGGATGATGAACTCTGCAGAACGTCACAGGCCATAGGACCGAGCATCCAGGACTGGCAGAAAGAATGTCAATCATCTCATACTACATGCATTTCCACTTTGGCATCTTATTTCCGCCCCACAGATGAGGCAGGTTTTATTATACCACTTTCAAGTGTATCTTATGCTTTTATATTTCTCAGCCTCTCTCTGGGCCAATCTCATTTAGCGCCCTTGCAAATTAAATGCATCTCATTAAATAGAACCCATTTAGGACAATGCCCTTCAGGTGTGTGCATCTTAGTACATCTTTCATTTTAAGACAAGTGTTTGATTTATTTTTCATCTCATTACACTCTTTAAAATTATGTGCATCTCATTACACTCAATGCACTGAGACGACTTATTTCAGGTGTAGACATTACACCCAGTATTATCAGGCAAGAAGATGATTTTTTTCATTTCATTACAAGCCTTACAATTTATGTACATCTCATTACAATCAGCCATTTAAGACAATTCCCTTCAGTTATGTGTATCTCATTATGCCTTTTCATTTTCACATTTTTTTCATCTTATTATTCAGAGAACTCACTTCAGGTGTGTATGTCTCACATCCACCTGTGATTCCTGTGAATTTCTGAGTAGTTGTTTCTGCCATTGTACTGCAATTTTTTTTTTTTTTTTAAGTTGAAATCTCACTGTCACCCAGGCTGGAGGGCAGTGGCACGCTCATGGCCACCGTAGCCTCGACTTGCTGGGCTCCAGCGATCCTTCCGCCTCAGCCTTCCAAGTAGCTGCATTTTTTTATACCAAATTCATTTAAGGCCAGTTCCGCGTACCCACGGACCTCCCGTGATCCCTTTGCATTAAAGGAAGAAGACTGTGTGGTGGTCAAGGCTCAGCCACTAACTTCACCTTACACCCAGGGACCATCTAAAGTAATGTTCCTCACGTGCTGAGGAGTTAGAGGAAATGGTTGCTAAGTGCACCTAAGGTCAATCGTCCATGAAACTCCAGTCCTGTAGTCGACAGTTCACCATGTTCCCAGCTCCTCCCCCAGATGCTGCTGCTCTCCCTGGAAGCCACTCACCCCTGCTGGAGAAGCTGAAGTTGTCATCACTGCCCAGCTTCCAGCAGCCAGACCTCTTCACATTCTTGCTTCCCTTTTAACTGGATAATGCTGTGTATAACATTCAGACATGTTTTGAAGGGTGGTGAAATAACCTTGCTCTCCCCACTCCTCCTGGCCTGGTGATATCTTTGTCTCTCCTCCAACCCCCATCCCAGGGATTCTCAGCTGGGGTGCACCTTAGAATTGCTGACCTACTAAATCAGAATCTCACAGGATGGGACTCAGGTAGGTGCATTTTTAATAGTGCCCCAGAGAGTCTGATCCTGGTTTCACAAAAGGATCTGAAGTTAGTGTTGTGAGCCGAAGATGCCTGGTACTCTCATTGTTGCCCATCCCAGTTGAATTTGCATCTTAAGAATCCAAGCCTAGCGTGAAAACAATTTCTCAGTTCTGGAAAGGGAACTGTGGGTTAGTAAACCCAACTGACCCACACCATGTAGGAATCCACACAGCACACAGTAAATTTTCATCTATCTTTACCTCACAGTGCCTACTGCCTCCCAGGGCAAAGAAGGACAACAGTCACACAGAGCTAACTGCTCCCATCAACTTCCACCCGGTGAACCAAGATCTGCCTTCTGCAGACAGAGGGAATACGCAGGAACCCTCCAGACTGTTGACCTGTGATCTTCAGGGCTCTTGTAATATGTGGGAATGGGAGTTGATGGATCTGCAGGGCCTTTCTCAAACCCCCTGAATTATCCTCCTGATTCCACCTTCCTGCCTAATCATAAAGCATGGGCGGCTTCCTTGAGTGTGTCTGGGTGGTCTGTGTGTTTGTTTTGTCACCCCACCCATCTCCTTGCCAGTAAACGTACCAGGGGGACCCAAAAAACACCAAAATGATCTTTTTTGGAGGGCAAGCCTCTTGTAGTACACTCAGAATTTATTTCTCCAGATTAAATGGTCTACTAAAGTTTTTATCTGGAAGTTTTGAGAGGGTTGTACCACGATTTTC